TTCAACCCCTCCACCCATCCCTATTTACTATTACACCCAGTGAGAGAGAGCCAACCAGAGACCAATATTAAATCCACACAGGAGTTTATTACCGGCCAGGACCCAAGCCTAGCATCAGACTGGAGCCCCGACTGGGGGTTGACAAACATGTTTTATATACCTTTGAGGCCAGCAACTTCTAGCCCCCCCCCCATGGGATAGAATGAGTAAAGCAACAAAAGGTACAGAAGGGGAATGTCCTGTCGTTAGAACATTTGTAGAATAATAGTTGATTAATTGTTATTTCTAAAGAGACTTTCTAAGGGGAGGAGGTTTTTAAGCTTCCTCCTTCTGAGTTCATCTAAAGGGCAGGCAGGTGGGTCAAGCAGCAATATGGAGTCTGTCTTGCTAACTAGAGTCCTTCATTTACAAAGACTTGTTTCCATTTTTTTCCTTTTCTCATATATTTTCCTTTCCCTTCTTTCCTTTCCCCTACCCCTCCCACTTCCCTATAGCAGCACAGTTTGTAATAGGCAAATCTTGGAAACAGCCCAAATGCCCATCAGCTAGTGACTGGATAAAGATGAGGTTTTGGTTTTTTTAAAAATAAAATAGAGTACTACTTAACCATAAAGAATGATAAACTGGAGACATTTATAGCTAAATGGATGCATATTAAGCCCATACTCTAAAGTGAAATAAATATGACACTCATGTGTAAATACCAAATAGTTTCTCTGGTGTGAGAAACTGAAAGTGTAAATGAGGAACAAAATGTATAACACATAATGCGAAATAGGAAGAAAAGATGCAAAGAAATCATGTAGTCTTTACAGTGTCTCAGGTTTATCATAGGCACATTGAATAGTCTTGCTTAACAATATTAGGCTGCACATACACTGAGCCCTGTACAACATACCAAATAAATCTTTGTTGCATTCTTTTGTATTTTAAAACATTGCTTCTCTCTATAAAGGAGAATTTGAAAATATACACATATTTTAATATACGCATAAGCATCCTTATGCATATTTATACAGAGATAATTTGTATGCTGATTAGCTGGTTGCAAAATTAACAAAGGATTTACACGTGTACATATTCTAATTGCTTGTTATGTCTCATAATCTTTTTTACACCATCTGAAATTGTTAACTTATTTTTACTAATTATGAACCAGTGATAGAATTCTGAGCACTGATGTAGACTTTTCAGGAACCAAACAGTCAAATTCATTCCAGAACCATACAAGGTTCCCTGAAACTAATAATAATTAAATTAATATAATAATATATGACATCATTTTCATTGTATATTGCAAATAACCTAAGGTTAAAAATAGCTGGCACATTTTAGTTGCTGGTCAATCCTCTTATATAGTCAGGTTAGATTAAATAATCATTGTATTCATGATCATTTTATCAGTTTTGTAGCCCACATTTTGAAGTATTTGTAATTTAAACTGTTGGGTAGTATTACCAAAATTTACTTCCTGAGCTAACTTATATCAAACAAAAACAATTTAAGGTATTTATGAATTGTTATAAGTATACAAATTTCAATAAGTGTTGTTTATAATACTTATTCACAACTATTTCATTGTTTAACCAAGAAAATAATTAACTTTTATAGACTATCCAAGTGGTGACAAATCTTTTTCTGTTTTTCTTTTTTTGTTTTGGTGAGTACTGGGGTTTGAACCTAGGGCCTTCGCACTGAGCTACATATCCAGCCATTTTTATTTTTTATTAAATTACCCAAGGGATCTTTAAACTACTATTCTCTGCCTCAAATACCCAGAGTGCTTGGATTACAGGTATATATTACCATGTCCAGCTTTGATTTAATTTTTTAACAGTTTGAAAACACCACTGGGTAAAATCAGGGCTACACTGAAAAACCTCTAAATGTCACTCAGACCCAAAGGATATCTTTGATAGATATCAACAGGCACTTGCCAAAGTCTCCCACTGAGCATCCGTCTCAACACTTCTGCTACTAAAGCTATTGTCAGTTTAAAGCAGTGGTCATCTAAGATAAAAGATCTTCTAAAATGGAGTATTATTGTGAGGGGAGGACTTCCTAACTTCACACATTCATCTATTTTCACATATCTTCATCATTTCTTTTGCGATACCAAGTGTCTTGCAGTTCCTTATCACACTACATCATTTTGAATACTCTATTGTAATAATAGCATCTTACTGACAAGGCCTTTAAAGGTAAACATGGATATTTACCCTATTGGTTTATTAATCAGCCTCCTGTCTCATTAACTAGATAATAATCGTGAAAGTGCAGATTATTTCTATTCACCTTTCAATCCCAAGTAAAAAATTTAATAACAGGAGCACAGGAGGCACATGCATATAAGAGAACCAATAAAGTAGGAAAAGGTTAATGACTCAATGATACATAATTATTTTAAATGTAAATAGTGGCCCAAATTCATAATTTCCAATTAATTAAATTATACAAACTTGAAATGTAATTGATTGAATAATAATATATTAACAAATTATATGTCTAGTAAAATGACAGTGTATATATAAGTAACTTTACCATTTTCTTCTGTAGGAAAGTCTATATTTTGATTACAAAAATAATAAATTGTTGTGGCAGTTTAAAAAGAAAAAGAATATATATGCAGATAAAGAAAATATATATTCACTCCCATCTAACTTTTCCCAAGTTACTACTGTTCAGTTCAGTGTGTAAAATTCAGTAGATATGTAATATCTTTTAATTCATCTAGGTTAAATCTTTTCTTTCACTGCATTGTAGTTCTACTTCTAGAGAACATCCATATCTAGGAAAATCCCCTTCTGTTTAATGGTTACTCTGTGAAGAAGAATCACAATTATCTTAAACAGCATTTCAATTTTGCTTTTATTTCTACTGAATAGATTCCTAGAAGTTAGTTTGATCCACCAAAAAATACATGCACTAAAATTTTAATAATTAAAAACAGATTGTGGCAATTTCCTTTCCCCCTAAAGTTGAATGATTTTGGTGGTTAGACATGAAAATTCCTGAATGAATTCATACTTTGTGCACAGGTTTTAATGAGGTACATTATTAATTTAATAATAAGCTCTTTATTTTTAATAGTTTTAGATTTGCAGAAATATGGAAAAGAAAGTAATATATTTACTATATGTCCAATGATCAGCTTTCCCTAATATTAACATTATAGATTAAGTATCAAACGTTTTTATAGTTAATCAACAACTATTGATAGATACATCATTCTAATTTAAAGACCATATTTAAAGTCCATATTTTATTCTGATTTCATCAGTAATTTTCTAATGTGCTTTTTCTGGTTCAGAATACCACAGTATCTTCACTTTATCACCTTAGATTCCTCTTAGCTTTGAGAATTCTTCAGACTTTCCTTGTCATGAGTCCATATGAATCATATAAATAATAATGGGGAAGAGTAGATAATTCCCCCTTCCAGAATTCAAAATAATCTCTCTAGATATTCTTCTCTTTAGCAGGGGGAAAATAATTATATACTCCTCAAGTATGTGCTATTCACAGCGATCTTTCAAAAAGTGTTATGAAAGAAGAGACAGTAAAAAAGTAACTTTATATTGAATAAATTTGTCAAACAGTACCTCAAACCACACAATCAAAAGTAATATGTAAACGGTTCTAAGCCATACAGGTAATGTGTTTGTGTTCTCTTTACCTCATGTGATTAGAATGTCCTTTAATTTCTGCAAACTCCCTCCCCCCAAACCCAACATAATCACAAGCAAAAAACATCAGACAAATCACAGCCAAGGGACATTTTGCAAAATACCAGAGCAGTAATCCCCAAATTGTCATTTTTCCCTAGTGATTTTAATCTGATATGTAAAAAAATAATACTGT